AGGGGCTCCTGGCATCGCTACTAGGAGCAAAGAAGCTACTAGGGGCTCCCCACCTCTTTTTTTGGCGTAGTTTTTTCTACGTCTTCCAGGCACAGCGAGCTTCGCTGAGTGGAGAGGTGCGCATCTCGCGAGAGAAGATCGCAGGAGCACTGCGCTCTTGCTTCAAGGAGCTGGAAGAGGAGAGGAAACATGAAGAACGAAAGGTGAGAACTAAAATTGTCAGTAGCGACGCCAGAAGCCCCTAGAAGCGTCCTTGCTCCTGGTAGTAAGGCCAGGTGCCCCTAGTAGCTTCTTGTTACTAGTAGCTTCTTGTTTCTAGCAGTAATGCCAGGAGCTACTAGTAGCGTCCTTGCTCCTAGTCGGGACGCCCTTGTTACTAGTAGCTTCTTATTCCGGAAAAGGGAAAACACATTTGAGAATTCCAACCTAGTAGCAATGGCCTCCAACCTACTAGCAATGGCCGATTTAGTGCTTTGATTTGGCGAGGGGTAGGCAGGAAGACATTGTTGCAAGTTGGCAGCATGATCAAAGCGTCGTCAAGTCCAAAACCCAGACGCTTTAGCAGGCGCTTTCAGAATCAAAGCATTACCTTAACCTTTTTTGCCGCAAGATGATGTCAACAAGGCTTCCGTAAAGAAAGGAAGACACCAAACGGAAGGTTTAAAGTTCAACCGCAAAGTGTTTTTCACCAAAATCGTGTGTTTTTCGGTTCAGGACCTTGGGCAACGGATTCCTCCAGGCCATGCGCAGATTCTCACACGTGACCTTGCCCTGAGCCTTAGACAGCTGCAAGCACGGAAATTCCTGACGGACGCAATTGTAGGCTTTCATAGTGCTCGCGTTTGTTTACTAGTAGCGTCCATGCTCCTAGTAGTAAGGCCAGGAGCCCCTAGTAGCGTCCTTGTCGTTGGAGAACATTGGAGAACGTGACAAGTGAGGCTTTGGAGTTGGACATTGCCAAGAAGCAGCAGAGCCTCCAAGCCACTCAGCATAAAATGCGCGAAGAAACGCCTGATATGCGCTCATTGACGAAACCTCGAACGTTTGTAAACTTGGCTGCCGCGCCGCAGTCGTCCAAAGACAACTCTTTGTTTTTGCTTGAGAAGTCCCAGAAGGACATATGCATTGATTTCTGTTCTTTTCCGTTTTGGTGGAAACATTATCAAAGAGGAACTACCTGTGTTTTTGCATTGCTTCATGGCCTGTGTCTCTAACCGGAGAGCAACCTGTTCAGTATCGATAAACCCCAACCAGATTCAGCCTTGTTCAGGTGTTGTGGCTATGGCCTCCAACCTACTAGCGATGGCCTCCGACCTAAGAGCAGTAGCCTCCAACCTAAGAGCGATGGCCACCGCAAAGGTTTTGCTAGTCACACTTTGAAAAGCGCCCTAACTACATTTGAAAGCGTGGAGGGGTTATTAGCAGCACACAGCCTATTCATACCTGAATGACGTGTGCTACTGCAGGGGGGTAGCAAGATCAGAAATGCAAACCGCTTCGCGGTGAAGCCCCAAAACTCAGTACCATCAGGTGTAGCAAGTGCTGTGGATACACCTTGACGTGACAAAATCCTTCTCAAGAGCAGAGGCTTTGCTAGTGGCTTTTGTAGCTAGGGCCAACTAGGGGCAGTGAATATCGAAAGTGCGCCTGCCTGCAGCGTTCCCATTGGTGACTAGCTTGTGAAGCATCTGGCAGTTGCCGACCGCACTGCAAGGTGTCTTGCAAGAGGATTCTACCTTTCTTTCCTTAAACAATGTGGTCAAACTAAGAGGGGGTCCGTACGGTAGTCATGGTTAAGGCTGGGTTTGAGCGAGGGTGCTCACTTCGGTCCGCAGCCAATTCGTCGCTATTTACTGCACCCAGCTGATGAGGATTCATTCTTGGATGTATTGTAAACATGGTTTTTGCGCACTCCTGCCGCAACACAGAACAAGGGACAGCCAGCGTTGGACATTTTGCCTAGTCACAGTTCAGGTGTTCAGCTTCATGTAAAGGAAACCTTAAGGAAAGCGCAAGGAACCTAATAGCGTTGGCCTCCAACCTAATCATGGCGATGGTCTCCAACCGAAAAGCGATGGTCTCTAACCTACTAGCACAAGATTTGCAAGATTTCCAAGGTCTGCTCAATGGGGTTTCCTTCCAGAGAGGGAGGCATTGTGACGATGGTGCGGCTTCAAGTTGACTTGCAAGTTACAGGCCGATGCTGTGTGAACAGCCGGCTCAAATGGGATGCCGATTTGGGGGTGCTGGTTTTGCCATCTTTAAAGGATGTCGTCGAAAGAGTGTCGGAAATGTCGAAGGATGTTTCAGACAAAGATGCTTTGATAGAGGAACTGTACAAATTTGTCTCTGCAGGGACTGAAATCTTTCAAAAAAGGTTCAGCCCTGCTCGCTACCCTGAAGTTCAAGAATGGCTTCAGAGGGGGTATCAAGTCACAGAAGTTGTTGGTACTCCTGTCAACAGTGAAAGCTGTGCCATTTGCTAAAAAAGTCAATTGTCAGTCTGTGATGCTCTGAAATGAAAGATCCAGGGGTGCTGATTCAAACCTACTCGCAATGGTCTCCAATCTAGAAGCGAAGTATAGGAAACTATGAATGTTTCTTTTTGGACAATAGCAATCTATCGCTCCCCAAAAATCTAGGAACCAAATGAATAGAAGCGTGAGCTATCCTGCGTCCATGCTAGTAGCTTCAGTAAGGTACTAGCTACCTCTCCTTTACTTGATTAAGGAGGTGCCGACTAGCAATGGCCTCCAACCCAACAACTCCACCTAATTATGCAGCTTTTGTTTCCGGCCTCTCGTTGGATCAAACCTTGCAGCCGGAGGAACACATTTTGGTGTTCGACAAAGACACAGTTGTTGGTGACATGTTGGTCGACAAAGTGACATCTTTTACTAGAGGTAACATGCATTTTGTTACTAATAGCGATGCACCTTGCTACTAGTAGCTTTTTGTTACTAGTAGTCAGGCCAGGAGCCCCTAGTAGCGTCCTTGCTCCTAGTAGCGATGCCCTTTGCTCCTAGTAGCGAACATTGTTGGAACAGAGTTTCCAAGCGAGCGGTTCCATTGCCATCTTGCTCCATCTCGCTCCATCGTGCGCCATGAACTACCCGGTAGACATGTCCATGTGGGGCTGTGGTGGCTGTGGTGGCTGTGGTGGCAATGCAATGGATCTAGCGATGGCCAATGCCAACTGGTTTGGCTTGAACGGATGGAACTGGAATTGTTGGAATGCGAGTGCACCGTGTGCAGCAACACCGTGTGCAACACCGTGTTCACTTGGAATGCAAGGTGGGTTTACTAGTAGCGATGGTTTCCAACCTAATAGCCTCCTTGTTACTAGTAGAATTGCCCTTTGCTACTAGTAGTTGGGCCAGGAGCCCCCTTAGTCGCGTCCTTGCTCCTAGTAGCGATGCCCTTTGTTACTTGTTCCAAAAGACCTTGTGGAGGTGGGTTTTCGTGCAACGCTCTCAGTCCAATGGCAGCGCATGCAGCGCATGGAGCAACACCCGCGACTGAGAGTCGTCCCAGTGGCACCACGTGCAAGGCCGGACCGCGGTTGGAGGCCATCGCTACTAGGAGCAAGGACGCTACTAGGAACATTCTTACTAAGTTTTTCCTACTAGGTACTTTCTGTCTGGCACCACGTGCAAGGCCGGATTTCCGCAACCGCCGCAACCTCAACCGCTGCCAGCGCCTCTCCCGTCTCGACGCGACAGCGACAAAGAGATTTGCCATGCCATCATGTTGGTCCCATCCGATGAGGGCACTGGCTGCCATGCCGTGTACGATCAAGATACCATCAATGAGTTACTTCACCCCGACTGGAAGCGGTTCCTTCAGCTGGCAGAACAAGCACCACAAGGCCTTACTACTATAGGAACAAGAAGCTATTAGTAACAAGTGCATCGCTTCTAGTAACAAGTGC